ATAGGGGGGGGATAATCCTGTGGTCTATATAGTGGAAAACCCCATGTGAGTATCACCCTGGGGTTTCTAATAGTGGAAAACCCCTTTAGTGATGTATCCCCTGTAGGTTTTTATGGTTTAAAGGGCCCTTTATTTTTTTTGAGGTATCATCCTGTAGGTCTTTTAAGGGGTAAAGCCTAGTGATGTATCATCCGGTAGGTTATATAGTGGAAAAAGCCATAGTGATGTATCCCCGTAGGTTAAAGGGGAAAAAGGCCCATGTGATGTATATTGTGGGGTTATTTAGTGGAAAAAGCCATAGTGAGTTTAATCCTGTAGGTTAGGGGGAAAAGGGAAAGCCATGGAGGTACTCCGGAAGTCAAATTTTTAGAAAAGCCATAGTGATGTTTTACCTGTAGGTCATATAGGGGTTTAAACCCCATAGGGATGTCACCCCTGTGGGTTTAATGTGGTAAAGAAATATTTGATTATACCCTTTTTGGGCCTTTATAGTGGTAAAGCCAAGGGGTGTATATCCTGTGGTAACATTGTGTAAACCCTAGGGGAGTATATCCGTGGGTTTAATAGGGGTAAAGCCATAGTGATGTTCATCCGTGGTTTCTTATATAGGGTTTTAAACCCCATAGGGGGTGATTCCTGTGGGGCCTACATTGTATTAAAAACATGGGGATGTATAACCCCGGTGGGGTTTTTATTTTATTTTTTTAAACCCATGGGTGATGTATCATCCTGTAGGTCTAATGGGGTTTTAAACCCTGGGGATGTATCATCCTTTTGGTCTTTAAGTGGTAAAGCCATAGTGATGTATCACTGAGGCCCTAGATAGGGGAAAAAACCATAGTGATGATCACCCTTGGGTCATATAGGGGTTTAAAGGCCCATAGTGAGTTACCTGTGGGTTTAAAAAATGTGGAAAAGGGCCATGGGAGTATCACCCGTGATCTAAAAGGGTTTTTTAAAGCCTTTGGGGTGGATGTACATCCTGTGGTCAAAATTTTGTGGGTAAAGCCATAGGGATGTATCCTGAGGTTTCCATAGGGGTAAAGCCATAGTGATGTATCATCCTGTGGGTTATATAGAAAGAAAGAAATGTGAGTATAACCCTGTGGGTTTTATATAGTGGTAAAGCCATAGTGATGTTTTTCCCCGGGTCAAAAGTGGTAAACCCCAAGGAGTTACCCTTGTGGGTCTAATATTTATTTAAACCAAAGTGAGTTTCACCCGGGTAGGTCTATATAGTGGTAAAGCCATAGTGATGTATCATCCTGTAGGTTATATAGGGGGAAAAAGGGCCCCCTATTTGATGAATAAACCGTAGGTCATTAGTGGGTTAAACCCTAGTGAGTATAACCCGTAGGTCTATATGTATTTAAAGCCTTTTAGTGATGTAAACCCTTTTAGGTCTTTTATAGGGGTTTAAACCCCTTAGGGGATGTTTTCACCGGTAGGCCTATATAGTAGAAAAACCCATAGGTGTACATCTGTGGGGTCTATATAGTAGAAAAAAGCCTATATGTATCATCCTGGGTTTCTAATAGTAGTAAACCATTTTGATGTTCACCCTGTGGGCTAATAGGGGTTTTAAAAGGGCCCTAGTGATGTATATCCGTAGGTCAATAGTGGAAAAGGGCCAAAAGTGAGGGTTTTTTTCCATCCCTAGGGTGAAAGGGGAAATTTTGGGTGTTGATCCCCCAAACAAGAAAGTGCCCTGCCCGCAGTGAACCGAAATTTTAAAATCATTTTCCTATTGAAAAAGAGGAGTTCTAACTCTAGTCTGGCCAGAAAACCCCACCCCCTAAGGGGGTTTTAGGCAGTTACAAAACAAATTCCCGGGAAAAGGTCAGAGCTAGTTGTGCTAACTAACTAACCCAATTTATTCAGGTCAATAACCTAGCTAGTGACCTGAAGTCTCCTATTGGCCAGGACAACACAGATAAATACATTGAGAGCTCATTGTAGACAGAAGCCAGGTTCGAATATAACTTCCTGAATTGACTGAACGAGTGTGCTTGCATTAAAGACCTTCGCTTGAAAATGAGAAAAAACTAAAGATGTTTGGTGCAGTATCAGTGAATTCTTTTTCATGAAAATGAGTCGTCTCTCGTTGAATGACAACAAAGACTTTATTGAAGAATCCCTACTGTTGACCAATCACTGACGAAGGGGCGTAGACTTTGGCTCCAAACTTCGGCTTGCCTCCAGAAAAAATGTTATGTGCCCGAAACATAGATGTCTCTCTTGGTTAAGAATGACATGGCTCTCACTGACTGACTGACCAAACAACCCTCATCCTTTACCCCTGTCCCTGACTGACCAACCCTAACCCACTGACCTCCGACCAACCCTAACCCACTGACCTCTGACCAACCCTAACCCACTGACCTCTGACCAACCCTAACCCACTGACCTCTGACTGACCAACCCTAACCCACTGACCTCCGACCAACCCTAACCCACTGACCTCTGACCAACCCTAACCCACTGACCTCTGACCAACCCTAACCCACTGACCTCTGACTGACCAACCCTAACCCACTGACCTCTGACCAACCCTAACCCACTGACCTCTGACCAACCCTAACCCACTGACCTCTGACTGACCAACCCTAACCCACTGACCTCTGACCAACCCTAACCCACTGACCTCTGACTGACCAACCCTAACCCACTGACCTCTGACCAACCCTAACCCACTGACCTCTGACTGACCCTAACCCACTGACCTCTGACTGACCAACCCTAACCCACTGACCTCTGACCAACCCTAACCCACTGACCTCTGACCAACCCTAACCCACTGACCTCTGACCAACCCTAACCTACTGACCTCTGACCAACCCTAACCCACTGACCTCTGACCAACCCTAACCCACTGACCTCTGACCAACCCTAACCCACTGACCTCTGACCAACCCTAACCCACTGACCTCTGACCAACCCTAACCACTGACCTCTGACCAACCCTAACCCACTGACCTCTGACCAACCCTAACCTACTGACCTCTGACCAACTCTAACCCACTGACCTCTGACCAACCCTAACCCACTGACCTCTGACCAACCCTAACCCACTGACCTCTGACCAACCCTAACCCACTGACCTCTGACTGACTGACCAACCCTAACCCACTGACCTCTGACTGACCAACCCTAACCCACTGACCTCTGACCAACCCTAACCCACTGACCTCTGACCAACCCTAACCCACTGACCTCTGACCAACCCTAACCCACTGACCTCTGACTGACCAACCCTAACCCACTGACCTCTGACTGACCAACCCTAACCCACTGACCTCTGACCAACCAACCCTAACCCACTGACCTCTGACTGACCCTAACCCACTGACCTCTGACCAACCCTAACCCACTGACCTCTGACCAACCAACCCTAACCCACTGACCAACCCTAACCCACTGACCTCTGACTGACCCTAACCCACTGACCTCTGACTGACCAACCCTAACCCACTGACCTCTGACTGACCAACCCTAACCCACTGACCTCTGACCAACCAACCCTAACCCACTGACCTCTGACCAACCCTAACCCACTGACCTCTGACCAACCAACCCTAACCCACTGACCTCTGACCAACCCTAACCCACTGACCTCTGACTGACCAACCCTAACCCACTGACCTCTGACTGACTGACCAACCCTAACCCACTGACCTCTGACCAACCCTACAGACCTGACTGACCTACACTGACCTCTGACCAACCCTAACCCACTGACCTCTGACTGACCAACCCCTAACCCACTGACCTCTGCAACCTACCTGACTCGAGACCCTAACCCACTGACCTCTGACTGACCAACCCTAACCCACTGACCTCTGACAACAACACCTCGACCCAACCACCACCACTGACCTCTGACCACCCTAACCCACTGACCTCTGACCAACACCTAACCCACTGACCTCGAACCCTAACCCACTGACCTCTGAACCAACCTAACCCTGACCTCTGATGCTCACCTACCCACTACTCGACACCCTAACCTGACTTCGAGACAACCAACCATGACCTTACTGACCACCTAACCACTGAAACTCTAGAACTGGACTGACAACTCGTCAACCATAGGAGATGGACCAGACCCAGACCACTGATTGACCAACTATCCACGACTCGCAGGACCAGTAGGAGGATGGGAACAGATTATCCAGAACAGACTGCAGGTCAGGGGACAGAGGGGATGGGAAACAGATGATGGGCTACAGGACACATTGGAACAGACTATTCAGAACAGACTGTCAGGGGTCGTAGGGGATGGAACAGACTATTCAGAACAGACTGTCAGGGTCAGGGGATCCAGTAGGGGAGGATGGGAACAGACTGTCAGGGGATCCAGTAGGGGAGGATGGGAACAGACTATTCAGAACAGACTGTCAGGGTCAGGGGATCCAGTAGGGGAGGATGGGAACAGACTATTCAGAACAGACTGTCAGGGTCAGGGGATCCAGTAGGGGAGGATGGGAACAGACTATTCAGAACAGACTGTCAGGGTCAGGGGATCCATAGGGGGAGGAGGGAACAGACTATTTAGAACAGACTGTCAGGGTCA